TCAAGTGGGTAAGGAGATCAGCAAATGGTTTTGCTGACGCCCTAGCAAAACAAGGGACTACAAGGGAGAGTCTTTTTTGGGCAGTGCTGTAATGTTTGATGTTTATTGGATCAACCTTTTCTAATAAGGGTTGAATTCTGTATTTCAGGTTAATTCATCTCTAATGAAAGTTATCGTTTCTGATTAAAAAAAAAAACAGTAGTTCAAAGGGAGAGTCTTTTTTTTTTTTTTTTCTGTATTTTCATATCAGATGTGTATGAAGCGCAAGAGGCGTATGCCTCTAGCACGCCTCATGAGAAAAGCGCAAGAGGCGTATGCCTCTAGCACGCCTCATGAGAAAAGCGCAAGAGGCATACGCCTCAGAGGTGTCAGTGCCTTTGGCATACGCCTCAGGGCGTTTTGGGAGCACCTCGCCTGGAGGCGCGCCTCCAGGCATACGCCTCCCACACCTTTTAAAACACTGCTTCATATTACTACGGGTTCTCATTTATGCTTGTTGAGTAATTGTATGGAGTGAATTCCTTTCCTCACGGTAAGGATAGAAAAAGCCCATTACCTTCTCTTTTAATCATGATGTGCATGCTACCAGATGCATCTTCACCTAGAGAATAGAGATTTGAATGTCTTAATAATCCATTTATGGAAAAGAATAGATACGTTGGGGATTTATTGGAATAAGGAAGACTTTCTAGCATCTGCCTCGGAACTTGTCAGATTTCTTATCTTTCAGTTGATGAAATCTTGATTCTTTAGTGAGAAAATATGAGAGAAAAATGAATTGATTGTATTTTTCTTGGAAGGAGCATATACACAACTTTATATAGAATTACAGAGCTAATTTACAGGGTGATAAAATAGGAAACTAACTTTCCCAAAAAAACTAATTTCTATATCAGTGGGATTCTCCAATTAATATCCCATGATTCTAGGATATCCCATGATTCTAGGAAATTAAGTTTCCTAAACTGATGGACCTAAAATTATGGAGAATCAATCAGAGAGTCAATCTTCTACTTTCCAACATTTAGCATTACTTCTTTTTCTGATGCTTGATTAGGAATTTCTAAGATCAATATGAACTGACATGTCAGATTGATATTTTACTTTGATGCCCAACTGTGGCTCCTTAATTTACTTAAATTATCAAATCCCTCCACCACCCTCTCAGGAGAAAAATGAAACAACCATAACAAACTTGAATTTTTGTTCTATGCTTCACCAGATCTCTCTTATAAAAGGATAAACCATGTGCATTGATAATTTACAATCTTGTTTTTCCCCAGGAATGAGGCTGGGAAATCTGTACTTTGATCCATTAATGACTTCATCTGGTCACAAGATAACTGCAAGGCAGCGGTGGACCCCTGCACCCATTCAGCTCCAAATTCTTGAACGTATTTTTGATCAAGGCAATGGGACTCCTAGCAAGCAGAAGATCAAAGAGATAACTTCTGAACTGGCACAACATGGCCAAATTTCTGAAACAAATGTTTATAACTGGTTCCAGAACAGGAGGGCTCGATCAAAGAGGAAGCAACAAGTTGCAGTGCCAAACAATGCAGAATCAGAAATAGAGATAGAAGTTGAGTCCCCAGATGAAAAGAAGGCAAAGCCAGAGATCATTCACTTGCATGAGAATCAAGCTCCAAGTGCTGAGGACATGTGCTACCAAAGTCCTGGGATAATCTCTGCACTGCATTCCGTGGATCCACAGCATAATAAAGCAGAATCCATATTCTCATCAGATAATACTTCAAAATCTTCTGTCAGCTTGAGTCACTTGTCTTTCTATGAGAGTGTACTATCAAATTCAGGTATGTATTGGCTTTAGTTTCTTTCCAGTGTTGATCACTCAAGTAATCTAGTTAACTGGCACTTCTGATGTCAGACACAATAATTCCAATGGGCATTGAGGCATTGACACTGGCTTCCCAACTATTATAGAAAAGTTTTAATAGAGGAGGTATACAAAGAAAGCTTTCTCAAGTCTTAACTATAACCAATGTTTTCAACCCAATGTTGTCAAAATCTTACGATTAACAATTTGAATCATGAATCCCAAAGCTTTTGATTTGAATCTTATGTCTGAATCCTTTTCTGCAAAAATCTTACGATTTTTGTTTGAATCCCATGATTTGATTCATAAATCTTATGATTTATACAATTTCTACGATTCACTACAGTTCAAATAAAATCAATCAAGAATTAGTTCTCTACTTTGTTATGTTTTTGTTTATATTTAGTTTTTCCAAGGGGAAACTTTTTCAAAAGCCTTACTAGAGAAAGCTGAATCAAACCGAATCGATTGGATCAATGCCCAGCCAGTAGATCCATCATCTAGCCAGGTTTCCGGGTCCATTTACCTGCAACAAATTGATTGGGTCAATGCCCAGCCAGTTGAACTGTTAAATTATTTGACCAAGTCAGCAGGTTCATGAGTCAGACACTAATCTTTCCTTACTTTTCTTTCCATCACTAATGATTAATAAAAATACTTCTCATTTACATCTATCAAAAAAAAAAAAAACAATACTTCTCATTTATCACCTCTTTGTTTAATATAATGAATATATAAATATTAGAGACATCCTACATTTCCAATTTTTTATGGTTTATTTGTATATTCTATATTATTCTGCATTTTATCTCTTTTTATATTTTATCATTTGATTCATGATGTCACATGTTCGCCCATGTAATCCGGATGGCTGAACTGTTGACCCACTACCTGGAGGGAAACTAAGTTAACCATTGAACAAAAAATGGTAGTGATTTGGGCATCCTGTTCTTCATAAACAGGCATTTTTCTGTTAAAAAAAAAACAAAATGTGTTCTACAAAGACAAAAATATCCTCTTCTAACAAATTTCTTCAATAGAGCATATTTTGTCTTCCACTGTGGTGATCCTTTCAATTAGTCAGCATGCTTAAATCACTCCTATGACCATTAGAAGACAAGAAAAGCTAAAAATCATGAAAATGGAATCTCCATAGAAAAAGATCTCTTATTGATATGGTGGGCTCTCTTTATTTATTGTTATTCCCCCAAAATCTGTATTGTTTGGCTAAGTGTCCTACAGAAAAATACCAGTTTGGTACTGTGTTTAATCTGAATGTGTTACATCTTCAATCTTCTTTTTCCTATGTTTAGTAATAGTTTATATTTTCATTTTATTTGAGCCTCACATTTTATTGTTTTTATCTTAGCCATTTTTACCAACCTGCCATGTGATAATGCATGAATTGGAGTACCCTATTGATCGGCTTCTTGTAGGAGATTACCATTGCCATTGATTCTATCTGATGGGGTTTTTTTGTTTTTTATTTTTTTTTGGGTTTTAGGCTTGCCCAATTTGGATATGTTGTTCTTGTGGGTTCAACCCATAATTAAGCAAATTGAAATGACTTAAATTTGCACATGGTTGGTTCCTGGATAAAGGAGATATAGATGGATTTTCCTTCTTGTATGGCTGCAAACGTTTTTACCTCTTGTAATTTTCAAGCTGCTTATGGGAGTATTGATACTTATTTAATGATGATGCATGCAGGGTATGATCATTTGATTGGAAAAATGGAAGGCCCAGGGAGCTTTAATCCTTACCGGCAGGGGGAGGGCTATGACATGATCGGATGACACTTTTCTCATCCAGTATTGTTTTGTTACACAGGAATGTAGCAACTTGAGTCCATGCCATTGGTAGGTTAAAATTCATGAACTTGACAACAGGTCAAGTAGAAAAGTTATGTTCGACAGTGCAAATATATGGATCATAGGAAACATAGTTCACATTACAAGCACATACAAAAAGTTAGTCTAGCAGGACTTTATTAGATAGTTGAAATTTACAGTTTTACACTGATTACAAGAATGGGGACATTTGAAACTTGGAAACACGGTATCAACGTCACGATGATACCGGCACCTACATACGGTGTTACTTTGCAATTGGTCATCGACTGATTTCTCGTCCATGTTGACTGGTTTGCTTGTCATGAACGGTGAACATATTGATTAGAACTGATCTGCTGAGTAGCCTTCAGCTTTATTAATTGTACTGTTCTTCAGTATATTGTCCTTATTATCTGTCAATACTATTAGGGTTAGATTGTAATTCTTTCCGGCATTGGCTTGTGATTCTTGTTTTAGGGGCCTTTAGGTATGATGAGTCAATGGCTTGAAATGTGTTGAGAATTACAGGATCAGGACTCATCTCAGGGCATCATTGGATGCCTCCTTTACTTGATACCGATACCTGCTAACAAAGACGTCTAGGTTCGCATCGTAGTGGCATATTTAATTATCCAAATCGGGGCTGTATCTAGCAAGTATCCTTTAGTCTAAATGATGCCGTCAAATCTATCAAATGATTATCTTTTCTAAATAGTATGTTCCATTACTTGGTGTTTAAATGTCAAACTTGGTAGGATTAGATCACTCAAATCTATCCAGGTTAAGAACATTTAAACTATATATCAAATACAATATCTCAAACATATTTATAAAACGTGGTTCAAAGATTAAATTACAAACAATATCAGACCTAAGGGCATATACTGTCGACACATGACTAACACGGCAAAAGATCCAATGAAGTGTTCTTTCTGACTTTTCACTATTGTGCTGTGTGGACTGGTAAAATCATTGTTTAATCCACTAAGTAAACCACGAGTTAGACAATTATTCTCTTTTTTTTTTATGTTTAGTTATATGCATCATTAATTTGTTGGACAATTAGGAGTTACTCTACAAGAATTTGAGTCAGTTTTATCTACACCATATGCAAGTGAAACATACATCTCTCCGTACCTAGAGCAACTCCTAATACCCCCATCCCAACAAGTTAACAATTAACACTCGTCCTACAAGTAGCACAAAAATTGTCCCTCGGAAGAAAACGTCCTGAAAACTCAGTTGGGAAGGAGTATAAATACAAATATATAGAGTACTAAACCTTGTATTTTTTGTACATTTGTATTTTTAATCATTCCAAACTAAGCCAAAAAGAAAAAAAAAAAACAAGATCCCAAGAATATTAAAATGACATTACAAAATCAGACCCAACATAACCTACCTCAATTCCTCCAAATAAGATATAAAAAAGATACATCTCTACTATAAACAAAAATATTCAGAGAAGACTTGTTATTCATGCACTTAAATACATGTAACTGACATTCCCTTTCCCCCCTTGGACACCCTTGACATTCATAACATTCCCCTTCCCGTGTTTAAATCACCAGCAGGGGGAAGGCAACACCAAGCTCCCATTTAGCTTACCAGCGCTTATGGACAGCCAAGATTATCGACTTCCGGAAGCCAGAGGCTATTGATAATTGGAATACAAAACAAATATTACAGATAAAACTTATCCGTCAGCAAAAATGAGGTCACAGCCACAACAGAGGCACCAGCTTCGGTCAGATGTATTGTAATGCAGACGTCAACAAAAAATCATTACCTGGTTCCGGTTATCCAGGGTCTTGAGAGAGTTAGACTTGGTATCATGTAATGCAGCAGTTAAAGATCCTCTTTCTATTCTCAATTCACAAGGACCATGACTTAGGCCTGAAAAAATTAGAAAAATTAGTCACACCACCAGTGTGAACTATCAAGCTTTCAACAAAACCACCTCTGGAGTTTTATTTGACCTTGTATTTTCACCATTTGCAGGACAGAGAAATAGGTGGAGGGTTTGCCAAATTTAGGTTTACCATTTAAACAGATAATTCAGATCTGTGCAGAATCTCTTGTTTAGGTCAACCCTGATCCTTTGATTTAGAAAGCAGACCTTTCTTAGCTAATTTAAGCTGCAAAATCAAGAGATAGCAATTGTATCAATGAACTGGGCTAAAGAGAGCCACACACATACACACACAGAGAGAGAGAGAGAGAGAAGAAGAAGAAGAAAAGAAAAGCAAGCATCCCTAACCTTGGCTCTTTTGGTCCTCCAACCTCCAGAATTCGGTTGTGGTGGAGAGCAAGAGAATTTATCATTCAAAGGCAAAACTACAGTCTGGCCAACATCAAAGTGACTACGTGGCAAGATATTCTAATCACAAGCAAATGCATCTACGTTCAGTTATACCACTCCCTCCTACTTAAAACAAAATTTCTTATGCAAACATGTCTTGTTTATAATGGACCTTGTCAAATATCTAAATTTTTTTTTATCTAAAATGTGATGTTTTTACCAAGTATAATTTAAAAAGAAAAAAAGAACAATCTGTCTTCCAAGTCTACCTCCTCTTTTTGTGTATCAGGATCCTTGATTTCCAAACGTTCAAGAAAAAACATTATCTGCATAATCAACAACCAAGTCAATAGATACATAAATTCAAGCCAAATTCATGCATCTACACAGTACACTGTCAAAACTCAGCCAGACAAAAACCTACCCTGTTAAGTAGATGAACATTTTGTGCATCAGCTGCCACAATTTGCAGCCCAAGACAGAAACTTGGGGGACCGCAGAAGGGGCAGAAAATGGTATTGAAAACGCAACCATCTTCCTCACACCAGACACCATGCTTTGAAGCACTTTTGTTAGCAGGCCTATTACAGAGTCGCTGATCAACAGATGAAACCTCAGAAATGACAACTGGAACACCTGGTCCATTTCTGGATGGAGAATCTAGTCCACCTTTGACAAGAGATGCCACATGAAATTTTGAAGACAAAGTCAACAAACATACAACAAGGAAATTGTTCTCAGGCAAACCCAGGGGAGTTCTGCAAATTGAGCAACAGATGTGAAGTTTCCTTTCCATAGTAGGATCAGAAGATAAAGATGATGCACCATAACTATAATCTGTGTATTTACACTCTGAGTTATCGGCATCCATACTAAACTCGATGCTTTGGTCCACATCTCTAGATGCAGTGAAGTTCCTAATACACTCAATTCTTCGTTTCTGGGTGTGGGAATTTACACTCAAGTTCAAAGATGATTCTATGTGCCCATTGATATTTCTTTCAGGAGTAACCACCAAACTACATGTAACCTTGGAAACATTTCTGCTTGAATTTGTGTAGGATGCTGAATGGCAGGATAGTTGGCCTGGAGAATCAGTTGAGGCCTGAACTATAGTTGAATCTGAATTCTCTTTAGAGAGGGCTCCAGGGCTAGAAATATTGATTGCCTCACTCATTTCTGGTGTCTCCTTGACTACAAAAATATCAGGACTCCTATTGGAAAATGCAACAGATCAGACCACTGGAAAACTGCAAAGGTAATCTGGGCTGTGTTTGGTAAGAGTGCATGCAGAACCGAAGCAACTTTGGTAAGAATACATTTTTCTACCAAAAATTATACTAAATTTGTTTTTCCAACTGTTTTTGTTCAAAGTTGGTCAATGAAAAATACATTGGTTACAACCTTGAGATTCATGTTTGTGCTCTCACAACCAAACAAGACATAGTAAGTTTTGATTGCAAAACTGAAGTGGGTTTGCATTCTCCTATTCAAACAAATTTGCATTCACAACAATTCATTCACTTTTTGCACTCTTACCAACAGCCTTTTCCTACAAAATTGAAGTAGACCAGTAAATCAAAATCTACATTTTATTAAATAAAAGAAGCAAATAACAATTGAAGGCAATCCAACTTTTTAAAAATATTGCAAGCATAAAATGCCTAAAACAATATTGACAAAATATAATAGCCTTTACAAATTCATGAATTTTTGTTTCCAAATAATGGTACAACCAGCAAGCCGCTCAAATGCATCAATTTGATTGGTTTAGTTGCACTATTAAGCCAAATATTGAGGAACTGAATTTGTCAGAAGGCTTACCTCAAATATTTTGGGTCAATATTGTGCTGAATAGCCGTAGCTTTATCATCCACCTGAACAGGTTCAGCTGCTTCAACAATGTCATGATCTTTAAATTGGGAAGAATTGGTATAATCCCAAGTTAAAATTTGTGACAGATGACCAGACTTTTCAGTTGCTGTTATATTGTTAGAAACTATGCCCCAGCCATTATAATGATTTGATTTGTCCATCATCTGATTTTTCTTTTTGGGACCTGCCTTGCTCAACAGTTTTTGTTTTGTGGAATGGGCATTTTCATCATTCAAAACTGAATTTTCTACTGCTTCCATTACTTTTTGACCCAACTGTTCCTGTAAATTGCCAAGATTAAGAAATCAAATTGCTTTTACAGATTGATACCAAAAGCGACTGCCATATTCCCACCACAACCAAAAATGGTAAAAAAGACATAAAAGACATGTAAAAGGATAAATATGGGACCTTAGCATCTTGGGAAAAGGATCTCAGTCCCTCCAAAAACATGTTGAAGTTGTCATACTGTTTGATGGATTTCCTTAGCCACTTTGAGATGTATGCCATATTCCTTTCTTCCCTAAACCGTTCATCTGCTTGCAGAATTGCACAAAAAGATAAAAATCAAAAGCTAAATGAAAGCAACAATAAGTACGGAAGCAAGTGTAAAATATTGTAAGCTAACAATACTCAAGAACAATGAAACTTTAAATGCAACTTGATATCTTTGGCTCCTGCATCATTATTACCCTCATACAAGAACACGGACATGGAATTTTTTACCAAGAATTAGTCATTCAACATTGCTTGATGCAATGGTAAATCTCCAGATGACGCACATGACATGGATTCAAGTCTGAGAACAGCCACATCAAGTCCATCCTTCCCCACACCTAGATAACTGGGATCAACATTGGGTAAATGGTACTTTGGCCCTTTTATTATTGCAAAGAGTTTTAGTTTCTTTTAACCTGGCATGAAGGAGAGGACCAATGGATGCTGGGTCCTAATTAATAGGTCCTATGGAAAGGCATGTTGGTAGGCTTGAATTATGATTTGACTTTTAGTAAATTTTACATGTGTGAAATTTGAACTACAATTTATGGAGCACATCAAAATGACAAGTCAGTGTAGCACTCAGACCATGCTTCTTTGATCTAGTACCTAAGTACCCACCACAACCCTCTATGTCTCTTCCTCGATCAGTTAATAATTATCTTTAAGTTTTCTTTTCCCCATTTGCTAGATCCTCATACCCATAAGAATAAATGGAAATATGTTGAAGGAAACATAAAAGCTTTGCATCAAAACAATGTAATATCAATCCTATTGGGGCCTTCTTTGTATTTTTGGATAATCCTAATATTGATGTATAGAATTCCACTCATTAGAGAGGCATAGACGATATTGTAGGCTCAACCTTTTCTCTTCTCTTCTATCTCCTTGTTCTCTCATTTCCCTTCTTTGCCATTTGAGGTTTGTAGATGCCATACTTCCTCAAATTTGTATAATTACAAAGATTGCTATTTTATGCTCTCTGTGTAATAACTTTATCTCAGAGATTGTAGTTAGTAGTTCAATGAAGCTAAGCTTCAAAAGTAGATATACAAAATCAACATTTGGATGACCTAACATAAAAATAAGAAACAGTAATTAGTGAGTGGATAACCAATACCCATTAAGATGATAGCTCCATGGTCAAACCTATGGCGTATGCAACGACCTACAGAAAATATAAAGACGTTAACATCACATTCTCGAGATGGGATGATCAGACTACATATATTTTATTTGCCAAGCAGATAAGGCTAGTATCCAATGTATTAAAAAAAAAGCAAAAATAGACAAAAATTTCATAAAAAAAACGCAACTATTACCCCCATGTGTGGCAAAGGAATAAAGTAAGCAAGTACTAAGGACATTATCAATAAAATTAAATTTTGTTACATGATATTATAAAGGTAACTCCACCAGTGTGAGCTTGTCTTACACAACCTGTCTCAAGCCCAGAAAGCAGGGTTGTGTTAGGCTGGCAGCTGGTATTAAAACTTTTGCCAAATTTTCATGATCACAGATCACAGACTGTTTTAAAAGCACAAGGGCTATCTGTGCCCAAGGCATAAGGTGAGGTGCACGCCTTTTTGAAGCAAAGCGCAAAAATACAAAAGAAAATGTCAAAAAAATGTCAGAAAAAAATATTCATAAAAAATGTCAGAAAATTCAAAGAAAATAAAAAATATATATATTAAACACAATTTTAATAAAAAATATAAACTTAAATTTTAAAATAAATGTTTTAAAAAACCTATTGTCTAAAATTAAAATACACAAACATAACATGTAAAGTGCATTCAAATGAAAATTTAAAAATAAAATCAAACATATAAAACTTTTTCAAGCATGTAAAACCCACAATCTCTTTTTTCCTCAATTGCATTATTGCAAATAGCTAATGTGATGTAAAAAATCTTGCATTCCTGATTCTATGAGCCACCTTTGTACCAAGCTCCTTGAGGCAAGCCCAAACAAATCCATGTTAGGGTCTTAAATTCTTAATCCTTACACAAAAATAGGTGGTTTTATAATGTCAATGGTCTTTTAAGAAGATATTTTACTAAGATGAACGAACAAACAACATTAGCAAATAGGGGGTTCTCGGAGCTTTGGTGAGTGAGTGAAGCAAGCGAAGGTGCACCTTTTAAATCACTGATCACGGATCCTAATGATGATGAAATTATAAAGGGAACATGCTATAAGTTGTGAGGAAGACTTTAAAACCTATTAGGAGGGCATTGCTGACTGATGCTTCACAATTTAAGGAAGGTACAAGGAGAAACAATTATATCATTCCACTATATTGGTAAGAAATAAGAATGTAAGAACCTGAGTAATATGACAAACTTGAAAGCTAAAAAACATTCAAATATATCATAAAATCATAAACATGAAGTGTCAACTACAATAGATAGTATAGAAATGGTGGGACACTCTCGAAGAATAGGCAGACAACAATTTGTGGATCTATCTTAAGAAAAAAATCGCAACACTAAGAACAAAGGAAATTACTGTCTACCTGTAGGTGGGAGGGCAAGCGAAATTAGAGAGACATTAAATGCAAAGCAGAAGATTATCCAAGCATATACTAGTGGGGAACCAAGGGTGGAAAGTACCTGCTGCCTGGTTTAAAGCACGAAATGCTTGTTGACAGTACCACTCACTCCCACTTAGAAGGTTCTTTGATAACCTGTAGGTGTCATTATATTTCTTTTTTTGTGCAACTTGCATATCATTTCTGGTAAAAAGTTAATATGGTCAGACCCAGATCATTGGATAATTCATGTCAAAAAGATCTTCTGAGGAATACATACATGTTTGGGAATGGAATGCCAACAATTATCTATAGTAGTCAAAGAATAACTCAAAATAATTAAATATATTTGATTTGAGTGACTGTGGTACTGTGAAAAGAGGCTAGTTAATGCATTAAGGCATATTAACAGATGAAATATTCTTGAACCCAGCCCCACTAAACAGCTAGACAACAATTCAAGGAACCTATATCTATAAAGCCCAAGTACTTCACAGTCTATAAAGAAGTATTTGGTGTATTAAAACAGAATTTCGTAACTTCAAAGAGCTATTCAATGTATTTAAAAAGCACCGTATGACTCCAAAAAGGCTGTAAAAGGATACAACTACCCGAGCATTTTCATCAGAAAAGTCAATTCCTTCTGAGACCTGCAAAAGTAAAACAATCATAAAATGCCTGTCAATCCGACTGAGTGACCGTTGATAAATTAGTTATTATGGAAAAAGAATGAGAGGTATCAAAATCATTTAAAAAAAGAAAGCATGGATGCATGCACGTGTACAAAAACAGGTTGCCAATCTTCTGGAACACAAATATGAAAAACCAATTAGGGCTGCAAGTTGGGCCAGGATAGCCCAAACCCAATCCAATTGGGTTAAAATTCGGGTTAGGTTTGAAAAGTATGAACCGGACTTAATGTTGGGTTGGGTTAGGATTGAGGCCTTCGCCAACCCAAACACAACTTAGCTTCATATTTGTATGCATAAATATTATATAAGCATTTATATATATATGTACGTATGCATGTGGCATGTATGTGTGCAACTATGAAAGCATGCATCCACAACTATGCAAGTATCAACACTTTTTAAGTTTAACTGCAATTTTTTTCAAAAGCAAGTTATCATTGGGGGTTCCACAGCTGAGGTTGGGTTAGGTCGATATCAGCCCTACCCAACCCAACCTGGCTTGCACCCCTAACCCCTATACTAAAAGCAATGCTTAGTACCCAAACAAGAAGTGCAGTTCCAAATATTCAAAGAAGCCATTACTCAATAACCCTTTAAACTTCAAATCAGGCATAAACTCAAAAGCCTCTGTTAATGTCGACTGTGTAGGGGTAATTTTGTCTTTATGCTTATGTTTAAGTTGCTGATGTGTAAAGTTATTTTAATTCTTATGTCCCTCACTTAAGTAGGGGCAAAGGTGTCATTTCCTGATTAATAGAAATATAAAACAGATCTGGCCGAATGGAGAGAGACTGATTTTCTCTCTTGTTCGAACCAGACTTTTCTCCCTCTCTATTCTCTTCTCTTCTTCTTCTTCTTTCTCTTCTCTCTCTTATTTCTACTGTTACCATTCTAACAGAATTCAAAGGCAGGTTGGATTCTAATATGGTATCAGAGCCTAACTGAGCAAATTGAAACTGCCCAGAATTCTGTTCTTCACGCACCCAGTCTAGGGTTTTCTCTTGTTTTCTTCGCCATCAGTTGGAGATAAGGGAAGGAGCTGAAAAGGAGTGATCGCCCTCTTCCCTTGGAGGTTTCTACGCCTCTGGTCATGCAGTTCGTGGTTGGTTGCTGTGGTTTGTAGGAAGCCCTCCCCTAATCGATGAAGAGAAGAGAGCTGATTCGTGTGATGCAGTGGGTGTCAAGTATAGTCTGATTTTCTGGTGATTAGATAATAGGTTTTTATGCAGTTTTTTATTGTGAATCAAATGATGAGTATGTTTCAGATCGTATGGTGGGAATTCAGGTTGTAGTGTGTTAGGGTTTATGCAAATTTCGATGTGATTTGAAGGGGAAGTGATCCTCAAACAGTGTGGTGAGTTTTCAGGTAGTCATGTGGTAGGGTTGTGGTGTAGAGAGTGCAGTATTCAGCAATAACAAGTGCTGAGAACAGTGTGGTTCAGTGTGCAGTGTGCAGAATTCAGCAATGGGAGATAACAGTGACGGTAAAACTAGTGTGATGGTCCCTACTGACTACCTGAATGTTCAGATGACCTCTATTAAGCTGAATGGAGAAAAATATGTACCTTGGGCAAAATCTGTAGAAGTCTTTCTTAAGACAAAGAAGAAAGTGAAACACATAAGGGAGGAAAAACCCTCTACTGACTCTCATGAGTAACTGGGAACAAGAAGATGCATAGATTATTACATGGTTATAGAACAGTATGGAACCTAAGATTAGTATGAATTTCATGTTTTTTGATATTGCCAAGGAAGTGTAGGACCATGCTAAGAAGTTGTATTTGGGTCAAGACAACACAACTAGAGTATATCAGCTGTATCAGGAATACTTTAATTTGTAACAAGGTAATTAGAGTCTTGAGGAGTACTATGCTAGTATGAGAAACATTCGTAATGAGTTGAATGTGTATCACCCCCTCATCTCTGATGTTAAAATTCAGCAATAGCAGAGAGAACAACTAGATGTGACCCGATTTTTGGTGGGGCTGAAGTCTGAATATGAATCAGTGCAAGCACAAATACTAGGAGGATCAGCTCTCCATTCCTTAGAAGTCTGAATATGAATGTGTATCACCCCCTCACCTCTGATGTTAAAATTCAGCAATAGCAGAGAGAACAACTAGATGTGACCCGATTTTTGGTGGGGCTGAAGTCTGAATATGAATCAGTGCRAGCACARATACTAGGAGGATCAGCTCTCCATTCCTTAGAAGTYTGAATATGAATGTGTATCACCCCCTCACCTCTGATGTTAAAATTCAGCAATAGCAGAGAGAACAACTAGATGTGACCCGATTTTTGGTGGGGCTGAAGTCTGAATATGAATYAGTGCGAGCACAGATACTAGGAGAATCAGCTCTCCATTCCTTAGAAGAGGTGTTTGCTCGACTTAGGAGGATTTCTATTGGATCTACCGAGAACTCTAGTGTTTTCAATAGATCAGCCTTTGCAATATCAAGGGGTCATGGTGTTAGAGGTGGAGCTCAAGGAGCTCAATCTAGTCATAGTGGTAGCAGTGGATTGGTATATGGCCGTAGTGGTGGTGGTGGACCTACGTATAACCGTGGTGGTGGTCGTACTGGAGGTCGTACTGGAGGTCGAGATTCAAGGGGAATCCGCGGCAAAGGACGTAGTTCAGGTCCGAGGAGATGTACACACAGTGGTATGGATGGACATGCCATTAATTATTGCTATGATTTGCATGGTCCACCTTCAACTTGGGCCAACCATGCCATGACCGGTGATAGCAGCTTCAGACAGGAGAGCCATTCAGCTGATCAGATGCTCCCTACATCCATAGATGTTCCCAGGAAGGAGATGATGAGTGTCTCCCGTGATGAGTATGAGAGGTTTGTCCAGACCACATCTCAACAAAACATAGCCACTCTTGCACACTCAGGCATGGCTTGTCTGACATCCACACCTAATCCCTTGATTATTGATTTTGGAGCCTCCGATCACATGACTAGAACTCCAGGTGTGTTTTCTTTCCTCTCTCATTGCCCAACATCACAATCTGTTACCCTTGCTAATAGTTCCACATCCTCTATTTGTGGTGTTGGTAATGTTAACATGGACCCTTTACCCTTATCCTTAGTTTTGTATGTCCCTAAATTTCCATTTAACCTTATGTTAGTTAATAAGTTGACCAAGTCTCTTAATTACTCTATTACATTTTACCCTTCTTCGTGTGCTTTTCAGGATCTCAAGACGGGGATGAAGATGGGTGGAGGGCATGAAACCGGTGGATTGTATTATCTTGACGGTGGTGGAAGTACATCAACAGCTCTCCAATAATCTCTTTCTCCTCTCTAGTGGCATTGTCGATTTAGTCATCCTTCGCTGAATGTTTTGAAGTCTCTTGTTCCTTCGCTGAGTCATCTTTCTGTTTAGAATTGTGAGTCGTGTCAGTTGGGGAAACATCATCGTGTTCCCTTTAGTCCTGGGGTTGATAAATGTGAAGATATATATTGATGTACATTATTAAAGTAGTCCTTGTTGTACAATATCATAGTTATTATTTTATTTGTTCTTTTTATCTTTCAGTCCTGTAAGGCCATTCTTGTAACTGTACATACCTTTTATCTCTTTAATATAAAAGAGGCTCTTTGGAGTGGGGGTTGACGATTCTTGACACCCTTGGATCTGGTTTCTTCTAGATCGGAATTCTGTTCACATGGTATTAGAGCGGGTTGCTCTTTGATCTTCATGATCCATCTTGCCTTCATGATCTATTGAAAACCTACAACTCTGCCGAGTGGTCCTAGACTGTTTTGATCTATCCAGGAACTCCTCTTCTGTTTTCTGCGCACCCAGAGAGAGGGATTTTATTGGATCTCTCTCGTTTGATCTCCGTTTGCAGCAAGAATTGAAAGGAATTGTCGCCTAGCCCTTCTCAACATATTCTAAAATTTTTACGAAGATCCGTGAAGTTTTGAGAGAGATCTAGACTCTTCTTCTTGGCTACTGTGCCCAGACTTTCCTTTTCTAGACTGTGTTCAGCTTTTCCTTGTTTGGATCTTGAACAATCTCCAATGAAAGTAAGGGGTTTCTATCTCAGTTTTTTTACTCTCTTGGATTGATTACAGCCTATTTCACTTGTCTTTGGATCAAGTTTTACTTCAGATTAGTTTCTTTAAGCTTCAGCCAAACCCTATTTGTGCTATTGTCTTGCTGTAATAGTTTCGGACAAAGGTGATATCATCCCTGTAAAAATGAATGGACAGAACTATGGGATGTGGAAGTTCCACTGACTTTTATGTTGAGGGAAAGGGTTTAGAAGGATATCTGAATGGAACGGTCACCAAACCAGCTAAGACCGAGGCCAAAGCTTTACAACAATGGAAGTTGGACAATGGTTAACTTTTTTCTTGGATTTTGAGTTCTATTGACTATCATATATCTATACCTATGAGGAGAATGAAAACAGCATATGAGATGTACATGTATTTAGAAAAAGTTTATCAACAGTCCAACGTATCTAAGCAATATTAGATAGAATCAGAAATATTCTCTTACAGCCAAGGAGATAGGAGGATACAAGAGTATTATTCTGGTTTTCTTGATTTATGGGCTGAATATGAGATTGTCCACATTGAACCCTCGGATCTAGTGGAGTGTGTGAAATATCTTCAAAAGCACTTTGAGAAGAGAAAGGTGACTCCGTTCTTGATGAGATTTAGACCTGAATATGAGATAATCAGGTCCAACATTCTGAGTAGGGGAACACTTCTAGATATGCATTCTATTTTAGGGGAACTTCTTAGAGAAGAAACTAGACTTTTCACTGCAGCCGGGTTCGATGGAAGATGGCTGAAGTTGAGGCTGAAACAGCCTTTGTTGCTCATGGGGGTAAGAAGCCAGCCTCCAAGGACCTCTCCAAAACCCAATGCTATGAGTGTAAGGGTTTTGGACATATTGCATCTCACTGTAAGAAGAATGCGTGTACCTATTGAGAT